GAACTATTTAAAATTTTAAAAGATGATGCTATTAAGGTGCTACACTCAATATGCCTGCAAATTTGGAAAACTCAGCAGTGGCCAGAGGATTGGAGAAGATCAGTCTACATCCCAATCCCAAAGAAGGGCAGTGCCAAAGAATGCTCCAACTACCGCACAATTGCACTCATTTCACACACTAGCAAGGTTATGCTTAAAATTCTACAAGGAAGGCTCAAGCAGTATGTGGACCGAGAACTCCCAGAAGTGCAAGCTGGATTTAGAAGAGGCAGAGGAACCAGAGACCAAATTGCAAACATGCGCTGGATTATGGAGAAAGCTAGAGAGTTCCAGAAAGACATCTACTTCTGCTTCATTGACTATGCAAAAGCCTTTGACTGTGTCGACCACAGCAAACTATGGCAAGTTCTTAAAGAAATGGGAGTGCCTGATCACCTCATCTGTCTCCTGAGAAATCTCTATGTGGGACAAGAAGCTACAGTTAGAACTGGATATGGAACAACTGATTGGTTCAAAATTAGGAAAGGAGTACGACAAGGCTGTATATTGTCTCCCTGCTTATTTAACTTACCGGTATATGCAGAATTCATCATGCGAAAGGCTGGGCTGGATGAATCCGAAGCCGGAATTAAGATTGCCGGAAGAAATATCAACAACCTCAGATGACACATGCAACCTCAGATATGCAGATGACACAACCTTGATGGCAGAAAGTGAGGAGGAATTAAAGAACCTTTTATTAAGGGTGAAAGAGGAGAGAGCAAAATATGGTCTGAAGCTCAACATCAAAAAAACGAAGATCATGGCCACTGGTCCCATCACCTCCTGGCAAATAGAAGGGGAAGAAATGGAGGCAGTAAGAGATTTTACTTTCTTGGGCTGCATGATCACTGCAGATGGTGACAGCAACCACGAAATTAAAAGACGCCTGCTTCTTGGGAGAAAAGCAATGACAAACCTAGACAGCATCTTAAAAAGTAGAGACATCACCTTGCCAACAAAGGTCCGTATAGTAAAAGCTATGGTTTTCCCAGTAGTGATGTATGGAAGTGAAAGCTGGACCATAAAGAAGGCTGATCGCTGAAGAATTGATGCTTTTGAATTATGGTGCTGGAGGAGACTCTTGAGAGTCCCATGGACTGCAAGAAGATCCAACCTCTCCATTCTGAAGGAAATCAGCCCTGAGTGCTCACTGGAAGGACAGATCGTGAAGCTGAGGCTCCAATACTTTGGCAACCTCATGAGAAGAGAAGACTCCCTGGAGAAGACCCTGATGTTGGGAAAGATGGAGGGCACAAGGAGAAGGGGACGACAGAGGATGAGATGGTTGGATGGTGTTCTTAAAGCTACCAGCATGAGTTTGATCAAACTGCGGGAGGCAGTGGAGGACAGAAGTGCCTGGCGTGCTCTGGTCCATGGGGTCACGAAGAGTCGGACACGACTAAACGACTAAACAACAACAGCAAGGGGAGGCCTGACTCAGTTCTGAGGTAGGCTGCTGGTGTCCCACTGGGAAGCCCCAAAATCTGACTCATAAATTTATTTTGTAGGACCTCTATTTCAGATTTGACACCAATTCCCCAAATCTCAGCCCTGTAGATCATTTGGGCAATGATTTTAGAAACAAGGATCTTAATAGCTGGGTTGATTAGCTGCCCACCCTTTGAATGGACAAACCTATATAGCTGCTCAGTAGAACGGCCAGATATTAGCTTACCGTAATTGCTTCCAGATGGGGTTTCCATTATGACTTCTTACAAGTGTGGAGCAGGTATTATGTGGCACCTGAAGTTGTGCCAATTTCACCGACTGAAGCAGTCAAGCGGGGGTAAAGCTATCTTGTAGGTAAATTGGTCCCAAATTCTTAAGGGCTTTATATACTAATAGTAACACCTTGAACTTGCCCAGCAGCAAAGCATACATATTGAAAAATTACAGAACTGTATATTGGGAGAAATTTTCATATTATGTACAAGTTTAAAAACACAAGTTCCAATAACAATATTTGGGTGGGTGGTGGGGCTCTACTTTCTATGTCCCTCCAGTGGGATAGCGGAACATTTATTCGTACTGTTTCCTGCTCATTGGTCATTTACGGATCCATAACAGGATATCTTCTTTTATCTTATGAAAGCTAAGCTTTGGAGTCTATGGCAAAATACTTTTGCAGAAGGTTTTTGAAAGTCCAAGTACAAAACGCTGACTGAATTACCTCTCTCTCTCTCTCTCTCTCTCTCTCTCTCTCTCAGACTAGTGAGACAGGGCATACCTTTCCAAGGGCCTTCTGACCGTTCCCCCACTGCAAGAAGTGAAGTTGCAGGGCCTTCTTGGCAGTGGTGCCCACCCTGTGGAACACCCTCCCATCTGATATCAAACAGATAAACAACTGCACAACTTTCCAAAGACATCTGAAGGCAGCCCTGCAGTGATATTTTGCTGTGTTTTTATTATGTTGGAAGTCACCCAGAGTGGCTGGAGCAACCCAATTAGATGGATGGGGTATAAATAAGACATTATTATTAGTATTACAGAATAAATCTTCACTGAAATGCAGACTGATGTAGGAATATGGAGAAGTGAACCTAAATATGAAAAAACGAGAAACTAAAATTTACAGATTTGCCCATTTCTGTTCCTGTCTTTCCTGATCATGCTAGCTGAGGCTGATGGGAGTTGTAGTCTGGAGGACACCAGGTTGGGGACTGCTGCTCTAACTCTGTGCATATAGGCACAAAATTTCTTCAGTCTTCACCTTGACAGTACCAGCAACATAATGAGTCCAGTGATAAGCAATTTCATTGCTGGTGTTTGGTCTGCTTTCACAGCAAATGCCTTTGCCTGTGTCTCCCACTCCAGCTCAGTCTACTATTGTAAGCAAAATTCATGTGACAACAGACAAAATTCATGTAATAACACCCAGCTGGATAACTGTGGTAAATAACACCACATTATACACACTAGTTTCTAAAATGCATTTTGCTGAGCTGATATACATTTGCAAAAATTCAAAGATACTGCAAGACCTCATGACAAGGGCTAACTTTCATCTGCGTTGATTCTATTGGATTCATAATTCGGTTAGCAGATTACAAATTATATAAATTTACCCATCACTATCTTTCTCATGGTATTTTGGTGTGTGTTTTTTTGTGCAAGACACAAAAATATTGACATGTAAGATTAGATTTACTGTACATGAAGACATTTTGAGTAAGATGGATAGAATGAGACACTGCGAGTGAATCTGAGGTTTTGTGGCAATCTTTGAATGTCATCTATTTTTATTGTTAACATGTTTAATCAATTTACTGTTTATTTATGTAGAGCAGGAATGGGAAACTGTTGACCCATGGGCCTGATCAGGCCTCCCTAAAACAATTAGAATATCTCAAACACAATCCCAATGCAGATGTGGGCTGGGACAAAGATCTCAACTTAAAAGAAAGAGGAAAGTCTCCAGTATGTGTCAAAAAGATGACAGAGATGGTGCCTGTCTAATATTTAATGGAAGGGAATTCTAAAGGGTGGGAAGCTAGACCCCAGTTTTTATAAGGGGCTAAAGAAAAGGGATGCAGGTGGCGCTGTGGGTTAAACCACAGAGCCTAGGACTTGCCGATCAGAAGGTCGGCGGTTCGAATCCCGACGATGGGGTGAGCTCCTGTTGCTCGATCCCAGCTCCTTTCAACCTAGCAGTTCGAAAGCACGTCAAAGTGCAAGTAGATAGATAGGTACTGCTCCGGCGGGAAGGTAAACAGTGTTTCCATGCGCTGCTCTTGTTCGCCAGAAGCGGCTTAGTCATGCTGGCCACATGACCCAGAAGCTGTATGCCGGCTCCCTCGGCCAATAAAGCAAGATGAGCACTGCAACCCCAGAGTCTGTCACGACTGGACCTAATGGTCAGGGGTCCCTTTACCTTTACTAAAGAAAAGAAGGCATGAGCCCAGTGCAATTGTGTAATGTCTAGGCTCTCTTGTCTCAGTCTCGTTCATTCCAACTGGTCTGAAATGTGCTTAACATCTGGATTATGCTGTGGTGAAAAAAATAAAAGGGGGGTGGGATGCAAAACTCCAAATAGTCATAAAAAATGTCCCTCCACTTAAGGCTAATACAATTTCATCAATGTGGTGGTGGGGACAGACATATTAGGCATGTTACATCTCAGAGCCTATGCAAATCAGAATACCTTCAGTCATTTGCATTACAATGGTTCCCATTGACTTAATTTTGCACTAAGTACCACCACTTTGTAAAGTCAAGGCATTTATCATTTATGCAGTGAAGGAAGCCAGGTTGTCAGCAGCCCCCTTGATGCATTATTCATTAGCACTGATTTTGTGACTAACGGCAGGAGGCAAATAACACCTTGAGCTGCCATTCAGATGCCCTTGGATTTTCAATTAGATGTTGAACTTAAAGGACCTGATAGCTTTTCCTGAAGAGGTAGGCATACATCTTGCCAGTTGCTGTTGAGACTCTCCTGTATGAGAGGGAGGCCAGGCCCCCATCAACAGATTGATTTCCCTTTCAATAGCAGAAAAATAAACAAATATCAACAGGTGATTCCCATCATTATATCACCTTACAAGCTGGGACCCTCCAGTTGATGTTGAATTCCAACTCCCATGGCCACATGACAACAGTGGGCAGGAGCAGAGGCAAAGAGGTCAGAACAATAAATGTGAAATTTATTTTTATACAGTAGGCTAGTTTCTATATGCACTTAAGCACTACCTTAAAGTATTTCATGTTTTAAACAGTCTCCTTCTGGAGGTGATGAACTCTCCTTCCTTGGAAGTTTTCAAGCTGAGGTTGGATGGCCATCTATCATGGATGCTTTAGCTGAGATTCCTGCATTGCAGGGGGCTGGACTTGATGACTCTCAGGTTCCCTTCCAGCTATATGATTCTATGTGTTACATTCAGGTCTTGAAACAGAGAGAACTTGGAGCCCAGTTCTCTTCTTTCATTTTTAAATATATTTTATTTGAAAAAGAAGAAATACACACGCACAGCAAACATAACAATATATCATCCAAAACCAGCCTTCTCCAACCTGGGGCAGATGTTGTTGGGCTCTAGGTCCCATCATCCCAGACAACTGGCCTTGTCAAGCTGATGGAGCTGATGAAGTCCAAAACATCTGGAGAGTACCAAGTGGGGGACTCCTGATGCAAACTGTGGTATTTGGTATAGACCAAAATGCAATGTACTGTAAAATAAATCAAAATATATTATAAAATCATATCAACACTGTCAGACAGTTTCACGTGGTTCCAGTAAAGTAAAGTGGACCCCATGTTCTCTGTGGTACTCAACCTGAGTTAATTCTATCAACCCAAAGTCTTATATAGTATGGCAGTTTATACCTCAATATAAGCTTCTAATTTTTCCTCCCTGGTCCAAACCCCTCTTGCTTAGAGGAACTCTGTGTGCACCCATTAGCTCCTGCATACATGGGTCAAATGCAGAGTCGGTATTAGTGTTGATGGGATGGTGACTGTGCGGCCAGCAACTGTGTGCATGGCTACTGCATGCTTCAGTACCAGCAGTGGATAGGGATGGGGGAGATATTTGGCTCAGTTTGGTTTTTAATGCACTTCCCAAAACAATACATGAACACACACACACACACACACACACACACACACACACGTGCTACCCGTGAAAATCTGTTCTTCTTTGAATTTGGTGATGTGCCTGTTGTGTAAAACCACATATAACAACATATATATTTAATGAAAATAACATATAAATGTTACAGTACATTTCTTGCAAAAATTTGTCTCTCTCACAAAATTGCATTCAATGATGTATTTATTATTGCACTAAGATGCGGATGATTTTTTATGTGGACTTTAACATAAATAAACAAATAAAACTGTGGAGAGCTGATTTCAATAATGGAACAAGAAAATGAGAGGAATGGATTGGAAATGAACAGATTTGTCCATCCCAAAGAGTGGAACTAGCCCTCATAGTTGTGCAATTTCCCTCATATGTTCTTTGAACACCTGGTTTTTTGTGTGTGTGTGTGTGTGTGTGTGTGTGAACCCTGCAAGATGCTGCAGAAACCAAGGCATCCCTAAGCATTTGTGCTTCCTCAAATAGGTCTTAGTTAAACAGCCAGAAATGTTTTTTTCTGGTGGGGCAAATTAACCTCTCCTCCCCCTTTTGTACATTATGGTGCCATAAGCCATTGCATCCAGTCTAAGAGATATGTACAAATCATCTTTGGCAGTTGTTTCATTGAGAATAAACAATTTAAAAATAACAGCACAGAAACTTTTCTCCATTTACCGTAATGCCTGTGAATGGTTGGAAGTGATTAAGAAGAATGTCAGTGGCAGCTGTTACAGTTAGATGCTTAGAGATAAATTAATTAAAGGGTCAGTTATGAATCACTATCCCATTAGTTCCACTTCTCAGAGACCTGGTTTCTATCAAATCACCAAGCGGGTAGCCTCAATTATTCAATCCCATATAATAGGGAGAGGGGGGTGTTTTGCATACTGAGGTGGGGGGGGGGGCTGCATTCTCTCTAAATCAGCCCTTTGAGGGCCACATGCCAATAGTGGGAGCGGCAAAGACAAAAGTAGGTGTGGCCATCTCACACGCTTACATCCCTACACATATTCACACACAGGAACCATCACATGCATGCCTTGACCCCAGCAATTATGCTTGAAGTTTTTCTTCTCCTCCTCCTTAGTGATTTTCAAGTCTAATTGCTAAAAGGGAATGATCTTCCTGGAGTAATGATAATTTAACCTTCCACCCTTAGCTGCAGTCTCCAGGAGGATCACACACAAGGACACAAACTTTGATATAACTGCAAAAAATAATAATTTCACATTTGGAACAACACAGTTAAGCAACAAATCTCTCTAAATGATATACATAAGTAGTAAAGTAAAGTAAAATAAAATAGTCATATACAAAACAGCAAATTAACAATGTCACCATATCCAATTGTACTCTCCTTGCACATCACTCCATCTTCTCCATGATTACTTCAATAAATATTCCAGAGGAGTACAGTAAGTTTTTCTGAAAATGAGGGACTCTTTGAACTGTACAATGAATTCCATGAATAAACCTTCCCAGCTATAACAATTATAATGACTCAGCCTTTGCAAACCAAGAATTGAAAATAATGGTGGGGTAATGGTGATAGTCAACAATATTCATCTGTACCTAATTGTGTTTCTGGAATTCACATTTTCATGAGCTTGTGAAGCCTGCTGCATCTACATATTAGGAAGCTAAAAAGTCATTCGATGCCCTTCATCTAGCATTACCATATAATGGCTGTTAATGCTGAATACTTTTTGTTCTGCTGTGAAAACTCTCCGGGACCTTGGTGGCATAAATAGAAGGAATAAATGAATTTTTGACATACCTTTTAAAGACTCAGTTCAGGTATTTTGATTGCACAAATCACTCTCAGGGAGCTGATGGGCTCAGGTGCCCTGACAGAACATGTTTAGGGAAGCTTTTAATGTTTAATAGGTTATTGTATTTTAGTGTTTTGTTGGAAGCCGCCCAGAGTTGCTGGGGAAACCCAGCCATATGGGCGGGGTATAAATAAATTATTATTATTATTATTATTATTATTATTATTATTTCCCTTGCAGGGGTAAGCCCTGCTCTGCATAATCAATCACAAGATGCAGCACATTCACATTCACACCATTTGAATGGCAAGGCATATCAACTTGGGGGGGCAGGCCTATTCAAATATTTTATTGGGGGGGAGGGCGAAGGGACCTTGGATCCTAGGAGCTGCATATGCTTCAACTTTTTCCTAACTAAATTTTGGACACCCGCCTTGCTACCCCCTGCCCACTCCAGCTGCTCACCCTTGCCCTCCCCACATTTGCCACCTGCTTGTGCCACTCACCCACCCAGAGAGCCCAGCGCTCTGGCCACCAGCAGAGTCACACCACAGCACCGCATGGGAAGGAAGTTTGGTGCGCGATCACCAGAGTGAACGTCTTTTGGTCCAGCCCTTGCGCCAGAGGACCAAACCAATCCAAATCTTTATTACAGTCATAGACCAGCATAAGGTAAAAGCACCTCCAATCATAAATAAAACATACTAGACAGGCAGTAAGGTAACTGCAGAGGTAGAGGGTATACCTACTCGTATTCTCAGATGCAGTAGACCAACATTATTTATTTATTTAATTTTATTTATACCCCGCCTTCCCCGCCCAAGACCGGGCTCAGGGCATCTATTAAAAAAATTGATTAAAAAAACAACTTAAAAATTAAAATACTACTTAAAATGCAGCCTCATTTCAGTGGAAGCCCAGATCAAAAACTGTTTGGGGGGAGAAAACAGCAAATCTTCACCAAGACCAACTATCCAGACTGGTCCTACGTGGGCCAGAAAAGCCAGGGAAGTCCCCAAATAGGGGCTCCATCACAGACGGAGAAAGGAAAAAGGAAAGAGGGGGAGGGAATCAAATTGGCTCCAAGCCAAAGGCCAGGTGGAACAACTCTGTCTTACAGTCCCTGCAGAAAGAAATCAGATCCCGCAGGGCCCTGGTCTCATGAGGCAGAACGTTCCACCAGGCCGGGGCCAGAGTTGAAAAGTGTTGAAAACATAAGATAAAAACATGTAAAACAGGTAAATCAATCCTTCGATTTTAGACCTGCTGTGTGGCACATACCATCCTCTGGCGTATGCCAATCATGGCAGCACAATATTTGGCAATTGAATATGTTATAACAGAATTGGAGCAGTAAGGAGATATAGAACTGCCCTGCGTGTCCTGGAAATTTGTGTGCTATTGGCAGAATAAACCTAGCACATACGTTTGTGTAATACTGGCAATGGAAGAGAATGTGTTCGATTGTTTCCATGTGTCTAGAACTGCAGGGGCATTTTCTCTCCTCATAAGGTGTATTTCTGAAATGACCTTCCTGGATGGCTGAGGGGAGAGTCTGGCAATGAGCCAGAGTCAAAGCTCTTCTCTGTTTTGGTATTTCAAGATAAGGTTTTTTTGGGGGGGGGTGAGGTAGTAAAGGCAGGGGCGTAGGAATGGGGTGTGGCGGTGTGGTCCGCCCCAGGTGTCATCCTTGAGGGGGGTGACAAAATGGCACAACATGAGGGGCGGCACGTACCATGGGGCCTGGCCTGCAACATGCCCGAGCCATGCGTCTCTCTTGGCAGCGTGGGGCTTGCATCCGCCTGGCGGACTCCATGGGCAGGTTCGCCGCCCCGCCCCCCCCCCAGCAGATCGCTGCCCTGCCCCTGTGCACGGATCGCTGTGCCACCCCCGTGGGTGGCTCACCCCCGTCCCCATAGCTCTGGGTGCTGGAGCTGCTAGCTACACCCCTGAGTAAAGGTACAGGACCCCTGGCTTCAAACAGTTTAAAGGTTATGGGTATATAATGTCTAGCTTTGGTTCTAAGATATTTAAGTATGGCAGCGGCACTTCTCTGTACATTCTCAGCAGCACAGTCCCCATGGGCTTTTTTCCCTTCCAGAAGGACTACCCCCAGATATTTGAAGCAAGTAACCTGCTCAGTCTTATGGCCACCAGTGTGCTATAGGAGGGGTTTGGGCCTTTTGGCAAATGCCATGGTGTTAGTTTTCTGATGGTTAAGTTCTAATTTGCCCCCCTGCAATATACTGCTAATGCTTTCATAGCTCTTCTAAGGCCTATGGGTATTCTTGAAAGAGCACCAAGCCCCCCCAAATGGGACATTCTGAGGTCAAAACAAGAGCCTGGGTTTGCTACTGTGATCTGGGATTTCCTGGTAAAAATGACATGGTTGGGTCTGGAGTTGGCTCCTGTGCTGCCTTGGGTCTCATTTTTAAGATTAAAAAATAAATAAATATGGTACTCTGGCACCAGGGAACCTCTGGCCAGTTTATTGAATTTGCTCCAAATAACCTTGAAGTCAAGTCATTCTGGGGCAGTAGGTTTTAGGCAGAGGCTTCTCCCAGCCCAACCTGAGGTTGCCAAGGATTGAACCTTGGACCCTTCTGCATGCAAAGCCTGTGCCTCAACCACAGCTGGAGATGTGGGTCATATTGCATAGATATATGATTTTTTGTTTGGTGCGTGCTCTAATTTGGAAGGAGGAGGAAGTTCAATTAAAAATGCACTTAATTCGAGGTTATCCTCCCAGAATTTTGGCTTTGAGAGGGGATGATAAAAAAAGAAAGAAAAAGATCGTTAATCATAACAAGTGAGTAGAGCTAAAATTAAACACACACTGGCTTTGATTCATTAGGCAATGCATGGCAGAGCAACAGTGTAAACAAGCAGAGTTCATGTAAAAGGAATGCAAAGGTGTTGCCAAGGCTCATCCGTCCATCCTAAAAGGAGCTTACTGATGAACAATTTATCAGTTAAGCAAGGAGCACATATGAGGAGTGCAACTTTATCCCCCCTGCCTTTTAATCCCTTGCTGTCTGTTAGCACAGTGGGCAACAGGCTCCCTCCTCAAGACACCATCACTGGGGTTGTTTTTGTTCTATCTGCGATGTGCTGGCTGAATACTTCAAAGGGTAACTCAGGCACTTACGCATCTCACTTTTCAGAAGGTTGTGACATCCAATAGCCTCTTCAGCTGCTCACAGATGAAAAGCACCAATGATGACACTTCTAAAGAGGGGGGAAATACGCACCCCTCTTAGCAGCCTGATCCTGTGTGCTGCTGCTCTTACTGCACAGAGCGTAAGTTCAAATGTAGGGATCTTGCCTGGCACCAGGTGACCTCTGCCATTTTGCTTAGAGGCTGAGAATGGTCTTAGCCCTCCCCCTTTCCTCAAATCCAGCTCATGTAAAGCTGAGAGTGGACTGGAGGTAACATGACCCCTCCCTGGAGCCCAAGAGCTATTGGGGGCTGCAGTCTCCAGCTGAGGAGTCAGACAAGAAGTCAGTCCAGGCTGAAGGCTCTGAACCTACTTCTGGGATTTGGGAGACAGTGGTCTGAGTCTGGCAGAGTCTGAGCCTGAGAATAGCCTCAAGAAGAACCTCCCATACCACCAGGGCCTGTATGGGACCCTCAGGGTTGTCTTCCCTTGAGCTTGAGGAAACATAACCCTCTCAAAGGAAGTGCATCAGGTGGGAAGCCATGAAACAGAGGAACAGTGCCCATCTTCAGAGCAGATAGTTGGCCCTTTAAGAACTGATGTTATCGACAAGGGGACAGAGCGTGGGAGACAAAGTTGGGGAAGTAGGCTTTAAAAGATCGGCTCTAAACCTTTGTTACAACAAGTTGTTCACTCAGGAAGTGAGGCTGTTATCTGCAAAACACTGGCGAGCTCTAATTTTTTTATTATGTTAAAGCACAGCAACAAAGTTGTTGTTTTTTAAGTTGAAATCTTCATTTAAGGTGTTTTTAAAAATAACAATCTTACATTGCTTTGCCTTGACAACAACAACCAAACAAACCTAGAGCTCTTCTGAACTCCACACACAGAAGTCTAGGCAGCCTCATGTAAGGTAAAGGGAAAGGGAAAGGGAAAGGGCCCTTGGATTGTTAAGTCCAGTCAAACTTAACTATGGGGTGTGACACTCATTTCAGGCTGAGGGAGCCAGCATTTATCCACAGCTTTCCAGGTCATGTGGCTAGCAGGATTAAACCACTTCTGGTGCAATGAGACAATGTGATGAGTGCCAGAGTGCATGGAAGTGCCGTTTACCTTCCCACCGCAGTGATACCTATTTATCTACTCACATTGGTATGCTTTCGAACTGCTAGGTTCACAGGAGCTGGGACAAAGCAACAGAGCAGTGGTTTAGAGCACAGCGCCTATTGCAGGGATGTCCAACAGGTCGATTGTGATCTACTGGTAGATCCCCATGAGGTTTTGGTAGATCACAGTGTATCTCTGGCTCCCTTTCATTAGCGTCGCTAAAACTTACTCCTGCCCCGCCCCCTCGCCTTGCCCTCCATTGTTGTATGATCTCTGGAAGGGAAGATGGAGCTTTCTCTGTACTGCTGTTTTGATCCATAGTGATCTTTTTGTGAGTGACTTCGCCCCTCTGCCCCCCCTAAAAAAATGGGGCTTTTCTCTTTACTAAAAAAAGCTCAACAACTTTGAGCTGAATTCTGAATCACAGTCTCTTGAGAGCTGGCCACCCCTGGCCTATTGGGTAGAAGAAACCAAAGAACAAAAAAGTTAGCGAACTCTCCATGGCATTCTCCGCTCTTCCTGCTTCTCCTTTCCAAAAAACCTCTTGCCAAGCAACTGCTCCCCTTCTGTCTGCTCGCCCCACTTCTCTGTTATTCCAAGCCTAGTTTTAAAAGGTGGTAATTTTCCTGTAACCTACATCACTGCTCAATGTAACCTTGGCAGTCTTTGTTGGCACAGACCCAAGGATTTCCCTGTGATGGGCCGTCATCACCTTTTGCCCTGCTTCATGGCTTCTACCCCTGGAAAGGGAGCGTAGCCTGTATTTTTCCACTGGCCAATCATCTTTCCTTCAATACTCCAAATATTATCTAAATTCTACCATTTATTAATTTCTAACATTCACTAACTCTAGAAGTTGTGGATGCCCTTGCACCCCCAAACTCTGTTACCCAAGATCTGCAACAATATACATGCTCCTGCTAGAAGCAAAACACAACTCAAGGTTCATGCAGACTTCTGCTTGTCCCGCTGCTTTCCCCTGAGGAAACATGCTCTTTACCACTGAATCAGAGAAGATGTCAATTGGATTTCCCACAGATTAATATTTACTCCAAATCAGTGGGAAAATGGCAGGGCAAATGGAAAACCATTTGGAGCCATGCCTGGAAAGCACAGGAGAACTCTTGGACCCTAGGCATGAAACAAAGTGTGGATGAGCCTTGAAGCAGCTGGCCCAACAAGACGGATGGCAAACCACAGGAAAAGTATATTGCCTATTTTCATTGAACCCTTAAAACTGAGCAATTACAATGTCAGTGTTGTTCAGAATACTGCTTTCTACTGATGTTTGTTACCAAATCCTTTTTGAAAGCCTTTCAAAGGTATTGCCACTTACCTATTTGAAGAATGCTATTAGCGATCTTAGATATAATCTGTACAACGCTGACTCCAGAGTTCTGGCTGAGGAACATAACCCTTCTTTGCAAAGGAAAGCCACATTTCTAACTATGAATTTCCCCGAAATGTTTTAATCTGCAGATTGGTCTGCAAAGTAGGCAAAACAAATTCCCTCCATCTTGTGTAAAGCTGTTGAGGCCACTAAAATATGTCTCCACCTGCATTTATTTAAAATTAAAACATTTATCTGGCAGATTTTCAAGACTCAGGGCAACATCAGAAAATAAACCTTAAAAAAATGTAAAAGAACAGAAAGATAACACAACGTCCTCCAGAGGGGGAAAAAAAACTTACTAGCCAGCAAGACAAACTGCTGGATGGAGATCAAGAGGTGGGGGTCTATGCCTTGCAGCCCTTTCTAAAATCCAGTAGGGGGAGGATTACACACCTTTTAAATAAGATCATTCCTGTGCTCCAGGACAGCTGATGTAGAGGCATGCTTCTAGCAATATTTCTTATCTGGATTGAGCTTCAGTCTGTTGGCTCTCATCCAGTCCATAACCGAGGCAAGACACTGGTCCAGCACATCCACTGCAGATGCAAATGAGAAGCAGACCTGTGTGTCATCAGCATATTGCTGATAACGTACTCCAAACCTCTGGATAACTCCGCTTGGCGGTTTCATGTACTGTAGGTGTTAAACAGCACAAGGGCCAAAAATGAACCCTGCAGAACCCTGACATTGAAGGCTCCATGGTTGAAATTTTGGGAGGTTGGATAGGTATGGTCTCAGTGGTGGGGTGCACATTTTTATTCTTATTTATTTATGATCATTACTTTGTCAAAATAATTTTTTTTTAAAGAAGGCTCCATGGGGCCAATGAGCACTTCCCAAACATTACCCTCTTGAAACAACCATTCACGTAGGACCAGAGCCACCGCAAAGTGGCTGACTCAGAGAGCCACTCCAGAAGATTACCATGTTTGATGATACTGAAAGCCACTGAGAGATCAAGGAGAAATAACAGGAACATATTTCCCACAAAATAATAATATTCCCTTTCCTCCTAAAATAAATATTTTTCTATTTATTCTTTCAGCCAAGAGAACAAAGCAAAACACAGAGAATTACACAACCTGAACAACTGTTTTCTAATCCATGTATTAGTCTGGGAAGTGTGAATAATGCAGTTTGCTTTACGATGCACACTGAACAAACTTTCTTTTCCATGCATAATTAAAACAAGATCCATAGTTGTCCTTTAAATAATCTACCCTACTTGTGAGTGGGGGAAATATTTTGCCAATTATACACTTGAAGGGAGTGGAATGAAATCCTCTTACATTTCAGGGAAAGCATGAAAAAGAAAGTGTTCATAGAAAATGTCCTAGGAACTTCTTTTATGACAAATGCCTTGCTTTAAATACTGTGTTTTGATGAAAGCATCATCATCCTTAGCTTGCTTTGCCAAAGAGCATGTGCAGAATGCTCTTCCTGCCATCACTGGATAATCACAAGCGGATCATAAAAATACAGAATTACAGGGAAGACTCTCCAAGTGAAGGTAATCAGGCTTGACACCTGACAGCATTCATTTCAGAAATTTAAGCCTTGGCAACAGCTCCCTTTGTGAAGGAATTGTGTGGGAAGGATTACTATTCTTGTAGCATTTCAAGCAGATATTTCCACTGTTTTATGTATTTCCTGTCAAAGGATGATCTGGGGACCATTGCCTCTGGGATTATATTGCTTCCCTTGCTAGAGCAGTTGTGTTGCCAGTCAACTGTTGCCAGTTCAACAGTTTTGTTGAATTTTTGTTTCAAATACCTCCTATCTGTTGAAAAATGAACCCACAAAACATTTGGGGGAGGAAGGCTATAGCTCAGTGGTAGAGCACGTGCTTTGCACGTAGAAGGCCCCATATCTGATACCTGGAATCTCCGCCCTTGGCTAGAGCCTAATGTGTGTCAGAAAGCTGCAAACAGACTGTATGTTGCTGGAATGACTGTATGTAACTGCTAAGCTGTGGAGCTGCATTGTAGTGTCAGTAAAGGAACTGGTGTTACACCAAGATGTTGGAGGCTATGGACTTGGTATAAGGCAGCTTCCTACATTCCTAACTTTCAGACAGAAATAATAATCATGAAATTGCAAGTTGGGAGATCGGTACCTGCATAGAGAGCAGTGCTGGCTCCATGTTTTGTTTGCTTGGGGCAAGATACCTACAGAGTTCTTCCCTTTCTGAGTTCACCCACTGTCTCCTTTCCACTCTTAACCACTGCACACACCTCACTTGCTCCCTCTAGGATCAGCAAACAACCATCTGGGGAAAATCATAAGGTTACTGCTCCATCTCCTAACTCTTGCTATTGCTTCCTTGCTCAGAGACAGCAGGTAGAGATATTGGAGCAAAGAGTAGGAGAAGCTGGAAGTGGAAGCTCCAGGGGGCAGCAGTGGCCTCCCAACAGGGGCATGGACCTTGATAAATTGCAAGCAAAATGAAACTCTACAGGCTGCTGATTATTTATTTCCCTGCTGTGTACAAAAATCTGCATAATGTTGCCCAGACTCCAACCCAGGAAGACGCCTCTTACTTTTTAAGGAAGTTACAAACTATATTTATGTTTCAAATCCTCATAGAATTATCTACTTCTTGGAAAACCTTATGAACTGGCTCCTGGCCCACTGGGGTTCTTACTGAACAAAGCCAAATTTTGTACACATGGAAAAACAACTTGCACCACCTGACACTATTTCTATGGAAACTGAAATAGAAGTCTCCAAATCCATTCATGTGAATGACTCTTGCTCTACATTTTTAATTCCCATCTGCAAGTCAAGAAAAGGGAAGATGTCCATTTTAAATATTCATTTAAAACATACTATTTGCAGCTGGATTGACAGATTTGGAAATTGGAAATCCTTTTTTATTATCCAAAGGGCATGGAATTCCCCACAGTTCTGAGTACTAAGCCGTGCTTTTTTCTGGGGCTACTCAAAGGTATGCAACACCAGCACCTTTTTTTCTAGAAGAAAAGCGTTGATACCAAGACATGTATATAAATGTTAACCCCAAGAGGAAATTCCATTTCTTTGTCTGAAGACTTCAGATTGCTAAGCAAAACCTATCTGCCTTCTCAGATGATAATTTATTCTGCTTTATTAGTTTAGCAATGCTTCCCCAAAGTTACCACATTATTGCTGCCTAGAGGGGCTACTGTGCAACAAAAGCAGGTCAAAAAAGCCCCAGAGCATTTATGGTAGGAAAAGTTACAGGATTTCCGCAGGAAGTTACAGGCTGTGCACTGATTGGAAATGAAGTGATATGCCCACCCCAAAACCTTTGCAGATGAAATTAGTATTGAAAGCAGTATCCTGTATGACTGCCCCAATTGCATTGTGATCACAATTCATTAATGATGTGAAATAAAAGGGATGTATGGAGAGGTCCTTAGTCATTGCTAAGCATCATCGTTTAGGAGTCTCCTACATTGTGGTTAATCTGAAGTCACACTGCATTATGACATATCGGTCCTTAAAGCTGCCTAAACTTGTTGTAAGCCTCATGAAGCAGGATCTGGATTACAGGCACAATCTGAGAGATTTGGTAAGATTGTTAATTCCACTGCATTCCATCTGAAATTAGAGAAGATGCACTAGAACATTTTACGCTATTTTTACTCTTGTTTTTATACTTGTTTTTAATGTTCGTTTTTCTAAGTTGCTTTGAGTTCACCTTTCTGAATAAAACTGACCAATTGATGATGATGGATGATGGTGATGTTGATAGCCTATGCAGTGAGTCAGAGCTGTGGGGCTCAACATCATTCTCACTGCAGCTTCCCTGGTTGCCAGGGGGAAGGGTGATATTAAGGTTAAGACTGCATGGACACCCCAGTGAAGCCAATCATGTCTCCTGGTGTGCCACATGCCACTATAACCTTGTCACCATCCTGCCCCACCCCATCCAAGAAAGTGGCTGTATGGTTTTGCAACACCACAATGGCTGCTACCGGGAAGACGAATGGCCCAAGTTCATGCTTACGCCTTCATCCTGTTATAAATGATACATGGATACTAGGAAAAACATATTTCCATTTGACCTCAACAGATATGACAGATGTGGCCAGTCAGTTTTTGGTGAGCTGTTGTTTGCCAGGGGCCCTTCCCACACCTGCTCAAGTTGGGTAGTATTAAGAGGTAACTTGGGATAGGGTCCCTTCACCTCACTAGGGAGACCTCTGAGGTGATGTCCGAGGCCTTGTGAAGACTCCAAGTAGACTTCCAGTAGAAGTCAGAAGTTCTGTTGGAGGTTTTGTGAGGCCTTGGATGGGACCTCAGAGGCCCCATGAGGCCATGGAAGCTATGTCCAAGGCCCTGTCAGGCCTCTAACTTCTGGTAGAAACTGGAAGTCGTGTTGAAGGTCTCATGAGGCCTCAGACATGACCTCCAAGGCTCTTCAAGGCCTCGGAAGTACCACTGCGGCATGCCAATGTAACGTGATGCAAGTGCTACTGGCCACCCATAATCTGGGACCCAAATCGGTGTCCCTGCTTCACCTACTAAGTGCTTACCTGTGAAGCCTGGTTTACAAGTGTGCATCATCTGCAGTTGTGACCAAGAGAAAAAAACAGCCAATTATATCATCCAAACAGTACGAAGTAGTGAATAATATGCTGATCATGTCCCATGGAAAATCAGAAGGGTCATCAGTTTTTCACTGGTCTGGTCATCATGGAGAATGACACTCTGATTGTACAGTTGCAATCGAAAATATTCATCCACCATTGCAAATCAGGTATCTTACCAAAATTTACAGACTTTCAGCTGTTTGCAATGAGCAAATCAAACAAACACGATGGAAATAGCTCGACCCAATTTGCAACGGGGGTTGAATAATTTTGATTGCAACTGTACATATTTTCTTTATAGTTCTCATATTCTGGATTGTGATGTCTCCCTCTGTAATCTAAGGTAAACTTTGGTTGATACTCCTGCATATTTTCATATTTATTTTTCTGCCACCATGAGGACTAGAATGTTATTTTAAAAGTAACAATGTTGTGACACTCTGGAAACTACTAAATTATATAGTGGGGAGCACATTCTGTGATTTTCTGGGCAATGGCCATTATTTATCTAGCTCCCCTGCCTACATTCCATACTTGTGACTTTCAAGCTAAAATAACCTTATGCACAAATCATGATCTTACAGTATTTTTCATTGGCAGCAGGCGGAGGTGGGAGAAACATTTTAGTTTTCTTATTTTTATATCTGTGTCTTCTGCCTGCTAATTTCAAAGACAAAAGGCTAAGAGACAAATGAATAGCATGTAGCACACCATCAATTCAAGTCTTTCTCAGAAACAAAACAACAAAAGTCTAAATCAAGTGTCAACTTGTTCCACTGATACTCGAGTATTTATAACTGGAGAACAATTTGGTTGGAGAATGATGGAGGTGAACAGAAATTTAAAAACAACCAAGACCTTATCTGGTGGTCCCTGAAATTATCTCTTGAATAATGTGGTGTCGGGGCTTATCTCAGACGAACACCTTTATCCAAAAAGAACATTAAAGTCAATCCTTAACTGTATTTTTCTTTTCTTTTTTGCATTTGTGCATCCTGCTCTAATATGAAGACAGTAACTTGGTGTATTTATAATGTAGTTTTAGATTATGCTATCATTAATATCTGTCTCTTCTTTTTATTGGGGGAAATACCACTGATAATTTTTGCTGGTTTCTGTCCAAACTGCTACCCTTCAGAGGCTTGCCATTAACAACCACTGGTTAATTGCTCTAGAAATAATAGACCTATCAAGTTGGAGGGGATCTTGAGGCTCATCTATTTCAATCCCCCTGCTCAATGAAGACTCTTCAATTCAGGATTCAACAACTTCATCCTTGGCAGAAGGCCACCCATCCTCTGCTCAAACTAGGTCTTCATTCTAATCATCTCTGTAACAAATGAATTTGATTGTTCTGCTAAACGTTTGAGTGTAAGCCATATGATTTGCTTTTCCCAATGTAGGTCTTTATTTACCCCCTTGTTCCTGATATAGTTATTCACTCACCCCTTCTTCCCTGGCGGGATGTACATCATATGTACCTCAGATAGAATGTAGTTGATTAAGGGAGCTGTGGACTCAACTTTTCTAAGTCAGCTACCCTGGCCTCAAGCAGAGATGGGAGGACCTGCCAATTTCAGTTCTCTTGGTTTCTCATTTTTCCAGTCTTCAATTCAGTTCCCCACATTTCTGCAGCAACTTGTGATTATTATTTTAAAAAAAATAAAAGATCCTCATGAAAATTCCACATTTCTTCCAAAAACACTTTTAATGCAGTTTTGACTAATGTACACACTTTTGCATGCACTTTCCCCAATATAATGCATTTTTGTACATTTTTCATTAGCGTATTATTTTTTATGCACACTTTCTCTTAATATAGGCATTTTTGTAAACGTTGGTTGGAGAACTGTACCTTGTGGATTAGTGTGAATATCAAAGGATGACTGTGTTTGGGTTTTCTTGATGTTTCAGTAAGTGCAGATTTGATGTATTCACCTTTGAATCCCTTCTGGGTTTTTATTTTCTATTTTTTTAAAAATAAAATTAACTGTATAATCAGGAAAAAAAATACTTAATTCAACTGATTTTATCTCTATGGTAAATTTTTGGGTAACCTCATGGTGCATCACTTAGAAACTATAAAGTTCAGTGGTCAATAAACTGAAATGTGATTGAAATGAATAATGAATAATAAATAAAATAAAAAAATTCCTTCCAGTAGCACCTTAGAGACCAACTAAGTTTGTTATTGGTATGAGCTTGCGTGTGCATGCACGCTTCTTCAGAAAGCTCATAACAAACTTAGCTGGTCTCTAAGGTGCTACTGGAAGGAATTTTTTTATTTTGTTTCCACTACGGCAGTCCAACACGGCTACCTACCTGTAACTAGAATAATAAATAAGTATTTTATGGGTTTGTTCAGAGGTTTTCAATCTTTGTGAGTCCACAGCTCCCTTGACCAAGTACATTCTACCCCTGTGGGGCTCAGAAGCCCAGTTATATTACCTTTTGCCTGCAGAGCTGGCAGCCTCTCACCCTTTTCCCAACACCCTCCCCTGTGGAGTGTTCCCTCAGCCTCCTCTCCTCTCCCCTCTCCTTGGGAGTCCTCTGGGCAGCCACTGCTGCCATTCCTGGTCCTTGAGCTGCCCCCCCCCACCCCAAAGAGAGGTGCCTCCCAGAGGCACCATTCGCCTGCAAAACCTATAGCCAGGGCTGCTGCAATAAACAGCTGTGCAAGCCTTTGGAAGGCAGAGATGTGAGAGGGCATCTAAGGAGGGAGGAAAGGAAAGAGGTTTAGAGGCCAGTGTTGCCCGCGACATGCCTGACCATCATTCAAGGCACCCCAGGGTGCCATGGCACACTGCTTGAAAACCATTGGGTTTGTTTATTTGGAAATCAGTGATTTAATATCAAAAGATGAGAGTCCTAGTTCTGTTGTCAAACTCATACTGAGGCCTAACTTGTCCAGTTAATAGGTCTGACCCTTTGCCCGTGGGACTGAGTTGTTTTGTCATCTGGGGCTGCCCATATACTCACAAATGGAAAAGGGGGACAGGAACAATGCCAGATAGAGCTAGAAATGTGTTTTCCCCCTTTATTTTTAAATTATTAAGCTGACTTCATAATCAATTTAAGGAGAGTAACCGAAGCCTCCTTCTGCCTCTGGGTTTGAATTGCTCTACCTTGCATATGATAGTTCTTGTCATGTAAACGCCTGCCTGCAGGGTCATTGTGGCATTAAAGAAATACACGCTCACCAGTGTAATTACAACTGTTGTCCTTTGGGGTGTTTTTGCTGCCAGTGCTGTTGTTACAAGAGCAGCCAAGGGAACTGAAATTGAGCTTCCTGGGAAGACTAAGAATCCCTTGAGAAGAACTTGATTGCCCAGAGAACCTTTTGTTTATTCATTTCAGAATGTATAAAGCACTCTGCATTCAGAGAAAACTCAAGCAGGAAACATAAAATCAATAATAAAATAGTGTTCAAAAGTAAAAATCAAAAACAAAAAACAAGAAGAATTCAAATCTGCAGACTTAAAATAGACGACTGTTTTGGAAACTGTGAAATAGCTAGGTTTACCTTTTAATCTAAGTTTAGGGCTTATTCGCACTTTTGCTTGTCCCACTACTTTCCCTCAGAGAAATCCACTCTTTGCTGCTGAATCAGAGCAAACATCAATCGAGTTTTCCGTAGGCTGACGTTTGCGCTGATTTAGCAGTAAAGAGTGGGTTTTCCCAGAGAAAGCAGCAGGGCAAATGGAAAACTGCTCAGACCAATGCCTAGAAAGTACAGGAGAAGCGGAAAATTACTCGGACTTGTACTCTCTGGGCATAGGACAAGTGGAAGTGTGAACAAGCCCTTAATCAAAGATCTCCCCCATCCATAGCTCCAACTTTCCAGAGTGATAGGCATGCTAACCCACAAAACTTCTTTTATTTATATTTTTATTAACTTTTCACATAGCCCATCTTAAGTGCATCACAAGTTATCATTTTTGTTCTTCTTTGACTTCCCATATTGCTTGATAAGAAGTTGTAGCACTAATTATTATTATTATTATTATTATTATTATTATTATTATTTATACCCCTACCGTCTGGCTGGGTTTCCACAGCCACTCAGGGCAGCTTACAGTATATATAACATAACATAAAAAAATTCCTGATACAGGGCTGCCTTCAGATGTCTTCTATAAGTCAGATAGTTGTTTATTTCCTTGATGGGAGGGCGTTCTACAGATCAGATGCCACTACCAAGAAGGCCCTCTGCCTGGTTTACTGTAACCTCACTTCTCACAGTGAGGGAAGTGCCTGAAGGCCCTCAGAGCAGGACATCTTTACTGCCTGTTTGTTTCTAATCTAACCCACAAAACTTGTGCCATACTAAACTTGCTAGTTTCTGAGGTTCTGCAATATACCGTATTTTTCGCTCTATAGGATGCACCAGACCATAGGACGCACCTTGTTTTAGAGGGGGAGAACAAACAAAAAAATTCTCCCCCTCTCTGCTCAGCGCCCCTTCAGCGAGGCGGCAGGAGAAACGGAGCCCCTTCCATTTCTCCTCCCACTTGGCTGAAGGGGCGCTGCGCAGCTCTCCCTCTCTGCTGAAGCCAGGAGAGTCTTGCTCTCCTGGCTTCAGCAAAAGGAACCTGAAGCCTGCGGCAGGAACTTGCGCTTTGCTCTGCAGGCTTCAGGCGGCTATCCCTGAAACCTCCAGAGCGCGGAGGGAACGCTCCCTCTGTGTTTCGGAGGCTTTGCATTGCTATCGCTGAAGCCAAGGAGCCTGCATTCGTTCTATAGGATGCACACACATTTCCCCTTAATTTTTGGAGGGGAAAAAGTGTGTCTTATAGAGTGAAAAATACGGTACTTTCTTATTACTGCTTAAGGGAAAGAAAAAGGAAATTTAAAGAAAACTGAAGGAATTTGAAAGAATTTGAAGGCGCTAAGAAATGTTTTAGAAAGAATACCAAAAAAAAAAAAACCCACCCAGTATTTTTTCCCCATAGAGGTTCCACTAATTATACCTCTGCTCAAAAGCATGTTCCATTGTGCTCAGGAACTGCCTATTTGCAGCACTGGATTTAGGTTTGTGCAGGCGGTTCTCTTGCAAAGGGCGCTGAGCCAAGAGGGGCCCCTGAGATCTACCTACAGACAGGGCATCCTTGCTGTTGATCCAGGTACAGCTCCACTTGCTTCTTTATCCTCCTCCTTCCCTCTCTCCAGATGCCACTGCTGCAGTCAGGAGACTCACTTTTGAAGACCAGACACAGAGGGCAGTCGGGGGAGCTCCTGATCCCAGGGGCACTTCCAGAGATGAGGGGGCAATAAAGGAGGCAAGCACAGCCCCCCCGAAAGAGCTGCAGGGCATGGTCAGGAGGGACTCTCCTGATGCCAGCTCATGCAGCCTGGGCTTGTCAGGGCTGGAGGGGCCCATCAATGTCTCCTTGTGCACCCTGGATATGTAGGGGCTGGACAGGGCGGGTGGCTCTCCTCCTGCTCCTCCTCTTCCCCACTGCTCATAGCTGTCAACACTTCCTGTTTTTAAAGGGAAATTCCCTTATTCCAAATAGAATTCCTCACAAGAAAAGGGAAAAGCTGACAGCTATGCCACTGCTCCAGCAGCACCTCCAAGCAGACCACGTTTCTCCTCCTGCAGGGTCTACTGGAAACACCTGCAGCAGGGGGCACCAAATTTTATCCTTGCTCAGTGTGCCCTATTACCAAAGTCTGCCCCTGTTGTTTGCTCACTGCTCAAATAAAACTGCAGTTCTTCCACATTTCCTTTATCCTTCCTGCATCTTCTCAGACACTATGATGCCCATACAGGACCATGTAATCAGATCATAACCTCAACTCTGACATCAGTTCCTTAGCTCTTCCTCGTGTCTAACTAGAGCTTGAATACTATTGAGTTTTTGAGAACCAATTCATGTAGCCATTATAGAAGTATTACAGTATGCAGAACAACCTGTGTCAGCTCTCTCCTGGGACAAGCTGGTTAGGTGCGTCTGTTGCCCCAATGTATGACTGAAATTTTGGCACATGGCTTTGTGTGTGTGTGTGTGTGTGTGTGTGTGTGTGTGTGTGTGCATGACCTGCATTGAAAGTTGAATCCAGAACAATGCAGAGAATGTCTATGGAATGGGAGAAAGCACATTTTAGATTTCCAATGTTTCAAAGCCTCCTTCCATGCTCTTGTGTTGAACATCATTAGATGTTTATTTTTTATGTAACACCTATCAGATACTTAAGTCCTTTTAACTTTCATTTACTATTTTCTTCTTTGATTGATGAGATGCCATTTTACATCATTTTATTCTTGGTCTGCAAGTTGTATTTCAGTTAAGGAGTAGGGCATGCTTGTGATTGTGGAGGAGTCTCTGTAGGACAATTATGAAACATCATAATAGTCCTAGATAACTGGAAAGCTGTCCTATAAATGTCACAGATAACTCACAGCATGAGGTGAACTGACAAAAGGAGCTTTCAAAATCTGGCAATATAATTAATGACCTTGCATGCTTTCACAACAACAGCAAGAGAAAAACACTTGGGAGTAGAAATTCCTAAAAATCTAATCTTTAAACTCTTTGCTGCCCATCCTTACAGATTGGCAGCAATGAGTTCAAAGATTAGATTCATTGGCTGTGATTGCTTGCATCCTATTCCCGTCTCCAATCCTCAAACACTTACTTGTTGTAATGGCCTTCTAAGGGTTGTGGCCAGTTTTTCATATTCAGAGTAGATCTATTGAAATTAATATATATGAAGAAGAGAAGAAGAGTTTGGATTTGATATCCCGCTTTATCACTACCCTAGTGAACCTAAGAAGTCTCAAAGCGGCTAACATTCTCCTTTCCCTTCTTCCCCCACAACAAACACTCTGTGAGGTGAGTGGGGCTGAGAGACTTCAGAGAAGTGTGACTAGCCCAAGGTCACCCAGCAGCTGCATATGGAGGAGCGGGGAAGCGAACCCGGTTCACTAGATTACGAGTCTACCGCTCTTAATCACTACACCACACTGGCTCTTTAAATAGATGACTAATTTAAATGAGTCAACTCTAAGTAGAATTTAGTTGGATACAGTCCTATGTTCTTAGAGGCTGGGCTGGTACACATACTTGAAACCAACAAGTTAAAATACCCAATGCTATAATAATGAAAAATGGAATAGCTGTTAATGTCCATTAAGCCCATACCTCTTAGCAGTGCTGCAAGGGGTGGGGAACAGGATCTGACCAGCAGGTTGAATCCTGACCTCCCCCACCCTCCATTTTGACAGATAGGTGAGGCCTCCCCTCTGCCTGTCACATATCACAGTGATATCAGAGGTGCCAAACTAAAAGAAAGTCCTTCGTGGGCATGGCTTACACCTTGAGCTGTGACTGCAGAGGATTATCCTATGAAGCAAATAAATATTTGTGCTTAAATCAAGCCCATGAATACTTGGGCAAGTATTAACAGGTTTGTTGTTTTGTTGTTTAGTCATTTAGTCGTGTCCGACTCTTCATGGCCCCATGGACCAGAGCACGCCATAATAGGTTAGTTGATGCAATTCATTGATTGTGATTAAGAGAAGGCCTTTTGTTACTTGGTGGAGATTGGCAGTGCACTTGGGGCCTGTTGGGTAAGTAAGAATAATCATCTCTATTTCATTTTCAGGTTTTCATTCTACTTTTAATTTGTATACCACCTTTATATATTGCTATACACAAGGCTGTTTATAGCAACGAAATATACAGCAAATAACACATACCTTATAATAATCTGATCCAATACAAAAAGTCATAATAAACATAATAAACATAATAAACATAATAAACATAATAAACATAATAATAATAATAATAATAATAATAATAATAATAAAAATTTATTTATATCCCGCCCTCCCCAGCCGAAGCCGGGCTCAGGGCAGCTAACAACACTAAAATAGTGCAACATTCTAAAAACATTATAAAAATTAATTAACATCAAAATTGATGGCAACCATAAACTAAAGTTCTGTAAAGGTTGCCAAAGGAGGGAGTCAGGCTGTGCCCTGACCAAAGGCCTGGTGGAACAGCTCTGTCTTGCAGGCCCTGCGGAAAGATGTCAAGTCCTGCAGGGCCCTAGTCTCTTGTGACAGAGCGTTCCACCAGGTTGGAGCCGCAGCCGAAAAAGCCCTGGCTTTTAACTTTAAAATATGGGACTTTAAAATGGGACGATTCATATCAAATAAAGTAATATACAACAATCGATTAGAGAATAATATTAGACAATAAAATTAACTCTCAAAACATCAGCAAATAATAATTAAACTGAAATTAACAACTACAACAATTAACTACTAAACTATGATCAATAAAAATAAGTCACAATGCATAAAATACATACCATATAAAAGGATCAAACTGAGAAACAAAGACACACAGTTTATAAAACTATCTCTCCCCCCCCCCCCGCCTCCTTTCTTCCCTGCTGATTTTGCTGTTCTTGAAGTCATGGCCTGGGAGAGGCTAGTTAACTCAGCTGGACTACTTAACCCCAGTGGACTCCCACTGCCAGTACCAGCCTCCACAACATAAGCAAATCCAGACTTGAGGGTACTTCTGTCCCTATCCAGTCTCACCAGTATAGCAGTTGTACTTTTTGACACCAGGATTATTAAGCTCAGCACTTTGTCCAATGATTTTGCTATAAATCTTGCATTTTAAAGGGTCTGAACTCCATAGCCTAAGGATTACTGTAACACCATGGAAGGTTTGTATCTCCAGATGCCATAAAACTTTGTTATCTAGCAACTTGGATCCCGTCAGTAAGAGACTGGGGGAATTAACGATGTAACACTATGACATGAAGACAGCAAGTTTTATATGAAGATTAACTTTTCTAGAAGTCAACTGCACAAAGGTGGAAAAGAATAATGAAAGGTACTGAGAAGAGTTGTAATGACCCGATTCAAGTTTCAGTTTCAGGCTAGAAGCATGTGTATGTACTTTGGCAAAAGATTACGGAGGCTTTGCTTGGCTTAAATTTGATGGGACGATTTATGTTTGTGGGGGCTGATTAGACTGCCATGATCTCAGGGCTGAAAAGTGTTCAAGGACAGAAACAAATTGCCTTTCTCAATTCCCATAGCTTGGTGGTGACTGCAACCCAGACAAAAAAGAAAAACAGCAAAAACGTGCAAGTAATTCTTCCATTTGTTTCTAAAATTGCATTTGCCCATAGTTGTTGTGACAACATGGAATCCAGTTTAATTTTTGTAATAGGTTCAAGTTTTAAAAGAAGGTTCTGATTCTGTGGTTTTGTGTTATCCACAGTTTCCAGTGTAAACTCCTGAGCCTTCTAACCAGGTTTGTAGCCCAGGATAAATGAGAAAAAGAATTCTGAAGTCCTGACACAAACTCCTGATTCAGGTTCTACCTCTTGAATCTAAGCTCTGAGCCTTGGGAGAATGAGTGGTCAAGGACAATGGGAGTTGTAGTCTCAGATGGCACCAGGTTGGGGAACACTGGTCCAGGTATGAGAGAAGGGAAAATGAATCTGCAGAATACACACACACACACACACACACACACAGAAAACATTCCTCCCCCCTTAAATCTTTGGTATCTGGGAGTTAAGTACCATTGGGGGAAGTCATGTGCTTTAAGTGTATGCTTCGTATGCAGCCCCAGTCTGAATCCTGAAATGAATCATACAACCAGACCTAAAATCTAATTTAAACAGCTTTAAATATACCTATACATAGATTTGAATTGTTTCCCTCATGTGCCAAGTTTAGCATTTTGTGTTGCTGCTATAGTTCACATTATATATACACATGTGAGCCCCCACACACTCAACAGATAAGCAAAGCTGTAGCACCTCTTTCATGTCATCCTGAATACAACATCTTGATAAGAATGCAAAATGTGTCACCTTCTGCCAAAAGCAGCTTGGTATTGTTTTCTCTTGTGAGAGTCAAACCTTTTCATTTGATAGAATTACTTTCCAGACATTCAAACTGATTTAATTATCACAGACAATAGAAACGGCACTGAAATAAGATTACTTGAGGAAAAAATCAGATCAAGATATAAATTGTATGTTTTCTCCCCCCCCCCCCCCATTTCTACCTTCACTTTGGAGCAATCAGCATTTCTTAGTCTGTGAGAAGCAACCCGAGTCACTTTCCTTTTGTTTCATTTTTGTTGGACAAGACCCTGATGAGATGGACAAGACCCCACCTGCTTTCCAGTAGATGGTTCAGTTTTTCAGCATAAGCTGAAAATTTAAGATAATTGTAGTCTACAAATAGGCATTGATTTGTTGGAACATACAAAGAGGGGAAATTAATGCCTGTACGTGTGTGTGTGTGTGTGTGTGTGTGTGTGTGTGTGTGTGTTACCACAACAGTTTGGGTTGCTTCCAGTTAAGTTACTAATGTCCATTAACTTTAATGGGTCTACTTTTAGTAGAACTAGCACTTGATACAACCCATTTTTTCAATGCAGGCGTTCAGCTTGCATGTCCAGTGAATGGTCATGGGGGTGGCACCTGACTCTGTCCCTCGTGCTACATCCCTTTATGGATGCTTGAATGGGCCTTCCAGGTGTACAGACAAAGGACTCTGTTGTCATGATTGAGGTAGGGATGGCAGAATCTGTCAATTTCAGTTTCTCATTTTCCACCATCTTAAATTCAGTTCTCTATATCAATTTGCATTTTTAAAAGTTCTCATGAAAATTATTCAGCATTTTAGTGTTTTTCCTACAATACATATCTTTGTGTGCAACTTTTCCTAACATACACATTTTCGCAAAGCAATTTTGCCTAACAGTGCATTTTTTTGCATTTTATTTGCACCATTATATGCATTTTTATGTACACTTTACCCTACTATAAACATTTCAAAATATTATTATTGCTTGGCTGGAGAACTGCATTGCAAACATCAGAAAAGTTCATGGAAAGTAAGAATTAGAGGGGGACTTCCAGAGAGGAAATGACAGACTAGGATATCAACTGCTGGCACTCCCATCTGCAGAGATAATTATATGGTGATTAATATAATCAAGATCATCAGAGTTTCAACAACTGCTATCCTTCAAAATCTGATCAAGGGACCACTTGTTAATGGTTTGCTCATACATCTTCATCATGATACCATTAGGTGGTGACTTGAGTGTGTTACTCACTGAACCAGATAGAAGTTCACAAAACTTAGTAAGTCAGAAGTGGTGCTTTATATTGAATTAGCCTTCACACATTTTCAAGTGCAGAGTGCTCAAGAGTAGAGAAACCCAGAAGATACATTGATGGGTGGACTGGGCCTTTGATCAATTCTCTTTCTTGGGGACTCACAATTTGCCATCCACAGAACTTAGTCTAACCCTCTGGCTTTGGAATATTCTCTCAGACATGAACCTGGTTCCAGTTCACTTTACCATCTGTAGACTTTCTTCTTCTGTGAAGTCTCTGGGTAATGAGATCTTTGACTTAGGGAATGTAGTTCTTGTTTTGATGAGAGAGCATAGCTAAACTATGAAATTTGTTCCCACAAGCAGTGATGGTCACCAACTTGGATGACTTTAGAAGGAGATTAGACAAATTCAGAGAAGGTAAGGGCAATCAATGGCTACCTCCACTGTTGGAAGCAGAATGTGTCTGAATGCCAGTTGCTTGGAATCACAAGTGGATAAAATGCTCTTGCATCTGGTTGGCCACTATAAGGACAGAATGCTGGACTAGATAGGCCATTGTCCTGATCCAGAAGACTTTTCTTATGAGAGTACTCAATTGTTTATTATATTGTGAATTTGTTGTGTTTTAAAATATTGCTATTTGCCCCATAGTATTCTGAAAAAGGGCAGAATACTATTAATTTAAATAAATGATTTAAAACAAAACAAAACAAAACATGGGGGTAGGTCAGTGAGTGAGATCCAAATATGCAGAAATACATGTTCATTCATTGGAACCTGTTAGCTGAACAGTTCTTGGGAAACCTCATTTGCCCAAGTTTCTCAGATGTGCATTCACCCATACTTTGTTCCAGACATTATATGTCAGTTGTACTGCCACACACATAAATTAATTATGTGCTTCCTGAATTATTTCCTCAGGCATGGGAGGTCTCTTTCAAAATACATTCAGATATTTCCATTGAAAATAATTGCTGTTTTGCCACAATTGTGACTTGTAAGGCTTCTTAAATATTGGTACCTGTTACTTCCTCTTGAAGAGCTTTATTGCTTGCAAAATCCTGCTCACTTTCAAGATTCAGATGCTGACTTCTAGAAGGGTAGAGCTGAGCTGACTCTCTTGCCCAGGAAATGTTTATGGGTTGTTTTTGTTCCAACAGCCAATGGTTCTACATATTCTTCTAGCTAGAGTGTCTGGAAATGAACACAGGATGTCCCCATAGCACAAATTGTCATGAGTTACTTCTTCACTCAGCCTTGAAATACTTTTGGAAACAAAAATAGAAGCCCATTTATACCACATGACTGCAAGGTGGAAGGGAAGCATACTATTTTATGCTGTCTCAGTTGCTGAGATGTTAACTTAGTGGTAGAGCAGTGGTTCTCAACCTGTGGGTCCCCAGATGTTTCATGTTTGATCCTCAGCATCTCCAGGTATGGCTGGACAAACTCCTGCCTGAAACCCTGGAGAGCTTCTGTCAGTCAGAAGCTAGATGAACCATTGGTCTGACTAAGTATAAGGCAGCTTCCTATCTCCCATGTGTACCTGTTTGTCCTTTATTATAACAGGTGTTACAGTAACAAAAGAATATTCCAGGAGATCAGACATGAGAAAAGGCCTTTATACAAATTTACTTCAAAACATGATGTTTACATAATAACAAGATATGCCCCAAGAGCATAGAACATATAGAAAAACCACATACAATAGATTTTTCAGAAGCTTACTGAAAATTCTAAGGAGCTTATTGTTTCCTTAAAAGTATTACCCAATATTTCTGAGCTGTTACCATGGAGAAGAGGAGAAACTAGGAGATTTCCTGACTGTCAGGGAGTTCTCCTGTTAGGAGTGATCCAACCCTCAGGTGGTTGTTGCATAGCTGTCAACTTACAGATTTGAAAATAAGGGACCAGCAGCCAAAATAAGGGACCTGCAGCCTCACCTGTTCCAGGCACTCCAGTCTTCCTGTCCTCCTGCAGTCTGGTCAAACTCATGCTGGTAGCTTCGAGAACACTGTCCAACAAACTTTGTAACCAGAGGTTCAACTGAATAGAATCTGAATCACATGCACCACAAGGCCTATGCAGCCTCAACTTAAGATGGCTCCCCAGCCTGGCTTTGCACTGCAAAGTTTGCAGCAGCACGTGCAACAAAATGGCATCCAGCATTCAAAAACCTCCTCAGCTTGCATTAACTAGCCACACACAAGGCATGCAAGCTCCACCCCCCAGTCGTTCTTAGACTTCTTATTGGTTGAGCAACATAGCCAAGCAACACAGTTGGAGCCTCCCTCCTCCCTGGCCGGCAGGGAGGGAGGGAGAGGAGCTGCTTCCTTTGAAATTTAAGGGATATCATTTAAGGGACATTTAAGTGACATCCATCAATAAGGGACAGCAGCGGGACATGGCGCTGGAATAAGGGACTGTCCCTTCAAATAAGGGACACTTGACAGCTATGGGTTGTTTCTTTTGCTGTTGTTGTTTTAAAGAGATTTCCCAATTGCACAAATTCTTATCAGACAAATGAGTGCAAAGCATGCTTTGCTCCTTGCTTACAATTAGGAGCATTTTCTCCATACAGGTTAGTAGTTCTTATCTGCTATGCAGTAACTGAGAGGACAATCCAGTGGCCTTTGCACTTATTTAAATACCAACTTAGAAAATATTATTACTGCCTCTCAAACCCAAGGCTTCTCCAGTTTGCACAAAGGTTGCCTGTTAAGCACAACTCAGCTGGTGGCTTAAACTGGCCCATTTTTAAAATTATTATTATTGAACAAATTATCAATACGGTTAATCTTTTTTTTAAAATAATTTTATTTATTTATTTATTTATACATACAACAAGAAAAAAACACACACAAAAAAATACAAATACCAAATTACACACAAATTACAAAAATAACCATAGACACATAATTTTCTTGGCGAACAATAAAACATCTATTGGTCTTAACACTAAAGACCCAACTTCCCGTCTATTCCATATTTCAAATTCATATTACGTATTGCCAATATACATTTTTTTCATAATTAAACTTATTCTCAATAAATCTAATTTCTTCTATCTACCTAGCAACTATCACTGAAGTTCCTTGAATGCTGCAACAGAATTTAAACTACTATATTTATTTTTCAGATAGTCTTTGAAAACCTCCCATTTAGAAACAAATTCCTGTTTTGATTTATTCTTTATTTTTTCTGATAAACCATCTAATTCGGCATATTCTCTCAGTTTTTGGATCCAATCTTGTATAGAGGGGATTTCATTACTCTTCCATTTTGCTGTGATCAAAACTCTTGCTGCCGCCTTCGCATATAAAAAGATACCCTTCCTCTTTTGTGGAATATCCAGATCTGTTATTCCCAGGAGGTAGGCCTCTGGTTTTTTATTGAAAGAGATCTTTAGCATTTTTTGCAGTTCTGCATGTATACTCTCCCAGAATACCTGTATTTTCCTACATATCCACCACATATGGTAGAATGTTCCTGAGTCTCCGCATCTCCAACAATTACTTGACACATTTTTATACATTTTTGAAAGTTTCCATGCTTTTAGATACCATCGATGTTGCATTTTTTGAAAGTTCTCTCTAATTGTGTAACAGTTTGTGAATTTCCAATTGATCTTCCATAAATTTTCCCATTGGGCCATGGTTATTGGATGGCCAAAATCCTGGGACCACCTCACCATTGCCACTGTTACCTCCTCCTCCTTGACTGTCCAGTCAAGGAGAAGTCGGTAAGTTTTGGAAAGAGTTTTTCTTTTAGAGTTTACAAGATCAGATTTGAATCGGGAAATTTCTGCTGAGAACCCCTTTTGTTTGTCAGATTTAAATTTTTCAAATAACTGATGGTATTGGAACCAGTCTGAAATGTGTTCTCTTATCTCCTCAAAGTTTTTAAATTTTATTTGGTTATCCTCCTTTTTTCAAGTATTTTATATGTTGGCCAGCTTTCCTGAGTATTTTTCCGTTTTACTGCTATGGCTTCTACTGGAGAAGTCCACCACGGGACTTTAGGCTCCATCAGGTCTTTATATTTTTCCCATACAGCAAAGAGTGACTTTCTTATTATATGGTTGGTAAAATTTTTATGAATTTTCGCTTTTCCATATATTAGGTAGGCGTGCCATCCCCAACGGTTGTCAAAACCTTCCAGGTCCAGGAGGTCCGGATCCTGCAACGTGCACCAATCTTTTAGCCAGGCCATTTAATCAATTACAATATTTTCCCCCTCCCCCCATCCCTCCACAACAGCGGCAAGAGTCTTGATTGCACAAGGATGGAAGAATGAGGAAATCCCAATGAAAGAACAATGGCAAGAAAAATTGATGAACTATGCAGAGTTGGCTAAATTGACATACAAATTGCGGGACAAGGACAACTGCAACTTTAAGAAAGAATGGGAGCTTTTTACAAATTATCTAAAAAGACAACAAAATAAACTGGATTCCTTGGCAGGTTTTGAATAAATATCCACAAATTTATTAGGTGAACATATGATAGACAAAACAAAGATATGTATAATTTTATAATATGCAGAGAATGATATGTGTAAAGAAATCAGAGAGGGGAGCTGAGGGAAGTCTTTAGTGGGAGGGAAATTGGCCCATTTTTAACCGGCAGTCAATAGGGCCTGCTCTGAAGGCTTTCAGGACTGACTGCTGTCAGCTTGCAAAGGAAACAGGACAAGTCCTGACACCATGCTATTCTTTTTTGGGTAGTTGTAGGCTCAGAGGTGAGGGGCATATGTATGGGCTAAAAAAGAAATGAATGTGGGAGATTTTGCAGTCAAACACCACTGCATGATTGCTAGTTGGTATTTGAAGGGGTTAAGGACCACAGAGTAGGGTCAGTGAGCTCATGCCCCATCACCCCCAGTGAGGGAGGAAGTGATGTATTTCTTCTCCTCTCTTCCTTTCCTCATTCTCTTCCTCGTGATTTGAGCCATGGAGGGAGTATGTGCCTCACTATTGCTCCCAGCTTCAGACGTGTCTGAAGCTACATTGCTGTATACCTGCTAAAGAATATTTTGCCTGCATTTTCTATTCTTGCAGCATAGGACAATGTGTGACTGAGACCTTAAATCCGTAAGTAAAGTATATATTTAATTTACTTCAGTGTGCAGTCTATTCACTGCAAACAGGGGTAGAAGGAGGTCAGCTGCTACGTGCAAGTAATGCACAATAAAGAAAAGTTTAACAGCCTATATTCTACACTTCACTAAACTGCTTAACAATGATATTTAAATTCTGCTATGGGCTGTCTCTTGTCTGAGAGTCTGTAAAACCCCACACTTTTCCTTGTTCATGGGTCTATAGAGGAGTAAATATAATTAATATATTCTCTTCCAATTCCCATCAAAGAAAGCAGGACCACACACACCAGTTCCTGATTAAAAACATCCATGCACAGACCTTGGCTTGTGCTTGTCTTAGCCAGCAAAGAGCTCTAGCAGCTACATTTATCCTTTGCCTTTGAATATTTTCCTGCTCAGCACTTCAGCCCTGGTTCTGATAAGTTCTTACAGTGATGATTTAGTTCTAGGATCAAAACAATTTCATGCTGCATTTTCATTCTTTCAGCCATAAAAAATAAATAATGCCAACAGTACCTTACTTGTTAATCAGCCAGTCTTCTTCTGAACTCATTTGTCATGTTCCTAATTTTTAAAGAAGATAGAGCTAGTCTGAGTGGAACTCCTTATTGGTGCCACAAGGATCTTTAGGTAAAGTTCGAATATTGTTTTATGACTCTGAAACTCTGACTTGACTAATAATGAAGTGAAAAGGCAGAGAGAGAAAAACCAATGGGACTGAATCAAATTTAAGATGAGAATAAATCAATATCATCTTTGCCTGCTACTTTCAACATTCTGCTACAGGAACAACGGTAAGGCAGACTCAGTAGCAAGCTGTTCACAGCTAGAGACTTGCAAGATACAGGAAAGCACAAGATTGCATGATAAGAATTCTTAAGCAAGAGTTCAAAGGCCTCTGGGACAAAGATGAATGTTTTCCTCTAACCCATGATACTCTGATATGGCATTTTAGCACACATGCTATAATGGTGATGTTTGATTCCAACTTGAGTATGCAAAGATGGCAGAGACAGAGATGGCATGCTCAAACACCCTTACACATATGGTCAGAACAGAACTTCAGAAACACCTGAACAGCCCTTATAATAGCATAATTGTGGAGGTTTCTGACCCTAGAAGGCGTCTGAAGATTTAGTGAGCTTATACAGTTTGTGAAACAACACATTTTGGTTCGTCATAACCTTCCTTAGGGCATAAGATTAAAGTTGATGTGTCAAAGCAACATTTGGAATCAACCGAACTGTTTTAGGGAATTTTATTCTTTCAAGGACTATTACTTACTGCTGTTGGTAAAGCACTTAAAGCTTGGGCTTCTTACAGATCAAAGAAAGCAATAGCTGCAAGTGGGTAACAAAAATGTCCATCAATTGGATGGCTGTTTTTCAGCAATCTATCCTTTTGTTTTTTTCTGTGCTGTTGCACCCTAATGGAAGGATCAGCAAGCTTTTTCAGGAGGGGGCCAGTCCACTATCCCTCAGACCTTGGGGGGGGGGGGGGCGGACTATATTTTGAAGAGGAAAAAAAAAATAACGAATTCCTATGCCCCACAAATAACCCAGAGATGCATTTTAAATAAAAGGACACATTCTACTCATGTAAAAACATGCTGATTCCCGGACTGTTCGCGGGCCAGATTTAGAAGGAGGTTGGGCCGGATCCAGCCCCTGGGCCTTAGTTTGCCTAAAGGTAAAGGTAAAGGGACCCCTGACCATTAGGTCCAGTCGTGACCGACTCTGGGGTTGCGGCGCTCATCTCGCTTTATTGGCCGAGGGAGCCAGCGTACAGCTTCCGGGTCATGTGGCCAGCATGGCGAACCAGAGCAGCGCACGGAAACACCATTTACCTTCCCGCCAGAGCAGTACCTATTTATCTACTTGCACTTTGACGTGCTTTCGAACTGCTAGGTTGGCAGGAGCAGGGACCGAGCAACGGGAGCTCACTCCGTCGCGGGGATTCAAACTGCCGACCTTCTGATCAGCAAGCCCTAGGCTCTGTGGTTTAACCCACAGCGCCACCCATGTCCATGCCCTAATGTGTATCAATGCATGAATTATGGGGAAAAGAATCATACCCTTTACAAAATTCACATGCAATTTAGCTAAATCATACCCCCAAAACTTGAATAAAAGCCGTAGCTAAGACATCCATCTGCTCTTCAGAAATCTGAGCAGTGATGTATATACTTTGTAATTTTTTTTAAAATAAATTATATATGCAATTGGGGTGGTGGGGGGGGGATTTTGTACATGTCACTGTTACTGCTTCCCTACTATTCCTATTAGTACTGCTGCCTCTACTTAGATTACCAGACTGGTGAAAAATATAATATCTGCATTCTTTTCTGTTCTTTCTGCTTCTGATAAGTTGCAGCTTCTTTTCAACCTTAAAATAAAAGAGGCTTTAAAAATAAGAAGCTAAGCACATTTCTGCTTTCACAGAGCACCTAGCCACATTAATCCAAATGTTTATTATGACGCATCCACCACTGCTGTAATTATTGATGGCTGATTTCTTGAGATGTGCAATGCTGTGCCAACTGGTTGCTTCTGAGGTCTGAGAGTATTTGTATGTAAACTGTTACTAATGGTGGAGTATACTTCAATTAATGTTTACATAGGAGAACAGACTTAAAGGAGATCTATTTGTTCTCTGGCACTGTGAGCAGCTGGAAAACACCTTCAGAAACTTTAAAAAAGATATACACAGTTAGCATTCCATGAAAAGAGGAAGGAGAGGTAATACCCAATTTTGCCAAAAGAAGAATGCAGTTGTGCGTCGAGGTCCCCCAGGTCACCCCAATAACTCACACTTCACACATCAATTTTTGTTTAAGGTTTTTGGCAGGCCACAACTTTATTTAAATACACACACGTGAGTGGTTGCTTAGACATTGGTTACGACTATCTGTCCTTGCCCCAGGGACAGAACTGACCTCCGGATTCCAGCGGAAGCCAATCAGGGAGAACCATATTGGGGAGAAATGAAGCTGGACATTGGTCCCCCATCTCTCACCCTCATGTCCCCTGGGGATTGCACAGCCCAAGTCCGATGCCAGGGACTAGGACGAAAGGGATGGCAAGCCCCTGGATTCCTTTAATGGAATTCCCTTTCCGCACCACCATTGGAGGGATAGGCTCTTACCCCTCCACCAACCAATTTGAACCAATGCCTAACCACCAACCTTACAAGTTGTGACGATTTGCTACGGAGTAGGCAAAAACCAAATGGCACCAGCCAATCAGCCAAATGGACAAAATTCCTACCAGGCCCCTGCCCCAAGGCAGACGACCCCATGACAGGCATAGCAAGGTTAGAGGACAATGAACGGGGGGGTAAAGGAGGGTGGCCGAGTGATCCGGTGCACGCAGCCCAGAGCCCTGTATTTAAGACTTCTGACCCCTCCCACACTTTAGCAACATAACATTCCCCCCCAGCAACACTCCTTGCCCAATCACAGCATGTGGCCAATTTGCCCAACAACAGTGGGGTGGCCTTTTTGGCCTCCACCGCAACACGTGCTCTCTATTATGGAGAACACTCCATGATTGAAACGAGGAGGGTGGAGGAAAAGGAGGAGAATCTGAGGTGAGAAAAATTATTCAAATGCCCATTTAAACTCTCAGAGTGGAACTCTTCCCAAAGCTTCATTCTGCCTGACTCATTTTTATAAGTCATCTGGGCATGTGGCAAGGTCTGTTTGCTCAGATATGGGTACAAGGGAGCAAAAGATAGAGGGGCTGCTCCACATTTAGAAAGCAAATTAAATATATGTTGCTTGACAAGACACTTAATAAGGGGTGTCGGGACTACATATGCAGAATGTATAAACCGTGGTAATTAAGCTTTAGTGGAGACAATTTAGGCTGTCAGTCTAAATGCTTATGACATTTCTTTCCTAATTTTGTCTGCATTTGCGTGTGAATCAGTCTATTTAAATTAGTTTATGCAACAAAACAAAACGTTTCTTTTCTAAGCAGGATAATCCAGGTATCTTCTAGAGCAGAAACACACACACACTTTTTGGTGTGCAATGCAAAAGACAGTTGCTCCTGCAAAGTACATGAGGAATTGTGATAACGGGATTGTGTGTGTGTTCAGATAAAATCCTCTAGAGACATTTATGAAGTTTTGCAATATTTCTGGATCCATTTGCTTGTATATTCCTAGTATTTAAATGCTGGCAAAAAGCCCTGCCAAAGCAGCTCACATCAGCATTTATAATCATAAAATACAACTAAAACAATCTCATAACTACAAGACTAAAAACAGCAGTGTGCTCTTGTTTGTGTGTTTGTATAACCTTGTATAGCAATTCTGATCAAACAGATTAAAACACCCACTTCAAACAATTAAATACCCAGCTGAGCAACTTATTGAAATGGGAAAAATCTTTACAGTCTTGTTTTAAAAGCTAATAAAGATGTATATGCCTTGGGAGAGAATTCCACAAATGTGGGGCCACCACTGAAGTGGTTCTGTCTTTACTGTCCCTCAGTCTAAAATATCTTAATGGTGGACTCATGAGCAGGGCCTCTGCAGCCAATATTAAAGCCCAGGTGGGTTTGTATGGGTGCAAGTAGTAACTATGATATAATAAAGCAGTAACATGGGGAAGCAGAGCAGTGATGGTTTTCTTCCTCCTATGTTGAGGGAATGATGGTGTCACGTGCTGGAGTGGCATTTACTATTTGCTAGTGTTCTCGAAGCTATCAATATGAGTTTGACCAAACTGCGGGAGGCAGTGGAAGACAGGAGTGCCTGGCGTGCTCTGGTCCATGGGGTCACAAAGAGTTGGACACGACTAAACAACTAAACTGTTAAGTTGTGGGTTGACATAGCAGACGACACAGCGATTTCTCCAAAGCAGCTCTTTATTTTGTAAGCTGGAACAGAACTGAGCAGCAAACAGCTCAGCTGGCCTGCTTTTATAGGCAGCCGGCTGTCAACATTGTAGCAACAACAACCCAGGGTTTCCCGCCTAAAATAACTGACGTGGACCTGAGTGAAAACTATCTACAGTATCCCCTGCTGGCCCAGGGTGAGAACTTCAGTACATAACACCCCTCCCCACCGAGATAAGGCGTTAGTTACAATCGTAATGGTTTCCTTATATACAGCACTACACGTAATGGTTCAATTAGGCACAAAAGCATATCGGTTACATTTCCCCTACTTAGACCAACAGTGATACATGTCCAACAACATAGTCCTTTAAATAAGTTGGGCGCTTGGAAACTCTGCCAGACCGCCGGGGACTGGTAGCCAAGTCCGGGGAGCCACCCAATTCTTGCTGAGGCTGTGGTGCGACCCTAGGTGGCGTTGAAACCAAATCCCCTGGATCCTGCTGTGGGTGGAGCCTCCGCAAGTGGAGTGGTCTGAGTCTCTGGTAAGTCTGGCAGACCCTCTGAAGCGGCTTGGTTCGGCTCCACGCTGGCAGTTTGCGAGGGAGGTGTAGGTGGAGCCTCGCCATCTGTAAGTGTCTCTTCTGGAGCCACAAGCGCAGTTGGGGGCACCACGGTAGTGTCCAAGTCCCCAACCCTGCGCCTAAGCTGGTCTATGTGCCGGTGCCACAAGCGTCCGTCTTCAAGTGCCACCTGGTACGAGCGAGGTCCAGTGACTCCCACTACTGTGGCTGGCACCCAAGGAATGTCCCCCACATAGTTCCGGGCAAAGACCTGGTTTCCTGGAACAAATGACCGTGGCATGTTGGCACAGCTGTGCGGCTTCACTCCGTGAAAATAGCAATCAGTTCGCAGCACCGCGCCACTCACCCCACTTTGCTCCGGCACCCCAAAATGGGGTTCCCGGTGAGTAGGGGGGCGCTCCAGGTGCCCTGCCGAACCCCACGTTCCCAGGCTTCCTCCACCTGGGATTTCTAGCGGGTCCCCACCTTCGCCGCGGTGGGAAGACCCAGTTTCCACAGAGCCCGTTCCTCCGGTCGGAGGAACTCCGCCATTCACCGATGGCGCTGACCCGGAAGTCCGAGTGAAAACTATCTACAGTATCCCCCTGCTGGCCCAGGGTGAGAACTTCAGTACATAACATAAACAACAACAAAAGTGATGTAAACCTGGGTGGAGGAGGGCTGGCCATATTCTTCCTCATTTTGGTGATATGTATAGCATTTCTGTTAAAAGTATAGCTGTAATTCCTAAATTTGCATCTATCTTTATAAATACAAACCTTTATAAAGCTGGCATTCACAAATTTTATGCACATTTCTTTTTTTATGTGGTTAAGAGCAGTAGACTCGTAATCTGGGGAACCGGGTTCGCATCTCCACTCCTCCACATGCAGCTGCTGGGTGACCTTGGGCTAGTCACACTTCTCTGAAGTCTCTCAGCCCCACTCACCTCACAGAGTGTTTGTTGTGGGGGAGGAAGGGAAAGGAGAATGTTAGCCGCTTTGAGGCTCCTTAGGGTAGTGATAAAGCGGGATATCAAATCCAAACTCTTCTCTTCTTATCAAAATTTTAAAATTATAAGAAAAGAAAAAAAATTAATTAAAAAAAATCAATCCATTAATTTAAATGGATCTACTCTAAGTAGAAATCCATTCTGCTCTTTTTTGTGATGCAGTTTCTCTACTTTAGTGATGCAGTTCATTCATTTGCAGTTGTCAGAACAGACCTGTGGTCTACAAACCGCTCATTCGCTTTGCATGATGTTCACGCTCCTGTATAAAAATTAAAGGTGGCTTTCAAAATGTACCAGGCAGAAAACAGCTTTGCAAAGCATAAGAAATACATGCTGAGCAGGCAATTATAAGCTTTCTCCCAGAAATGAGAATTTTAACTGCAAGTAAATGGCTTGAAAGATAACAGGCTCAGTGAGCATAATGGCTTTTAGGCAGATGGGGGATAATGCTTCCCTTAAAAAAGAAGCTTGTACAATAACTATAATATTTTACTCTGCTATGACACTTTCATCTTTATTTCGCAAACAACGTTTATTGGTAAGCCAGTATTTCTTTCTAATCAGATCTTTTGGCAACTGCGTATGCTCTGTGTTTTGTGAAAAGCAGCTGCATTTTGGATCAAATGAATTTTGATAGCTTAGAATACGATGGTGCATCTTGGAACAGTTATATGAATGCATATAATTTGCATTTTTCTCTTTTGTGGTCCCCCCCACCCCCCTTTCAGCATCTCCTATAAGCAGCAATGGAATGCTGGTCATGCTCAGCCTTACAGTGGCTGGTCCATTACAATTTGCTGACCTGTTTCCACTAGTCTTTTGTCAGTGTTAGAACTGTTTCTCTCCTGAGTGGCAAATCCCGAGACAAAGGGGTGGAAACAGAGGGTGATACCTGGCACATTGCCAGGACAGGTTCAGCTGCAGGTCAGCACAGAGACTCAGAGACAAGTAATAAATTTAATTCTTTATTCAAGAAAACAGCATGCAAGCAGAGACTGCCCCCCCCCAGTTGTCAGGACTGACAATCTGCGTCTCCTACTTCCTCCTAAGTCTCCCCCCCTCCCAAGCAGCCTTAAGCTATGCCTGGAAGGGACCATCTGCGCCCTTTGTTCTGTTACACACAAGGCTCTTCATGACCTTGGAGACAAAGGGGGAGGGGAACTTACAACAGTAGGAAAGGCAAGCTCCGTGGATGCTTCTGACACCCTGGCCCCTCCTTCACGGCTTCATATGCAGAGTCTGAATTGCTTCCTGAATCTGGCTCTTCTCTCTCACTCAAGCCTGTTGCTTCTTCAGCATCCAATCATTCTGTCCCCCCTCTTTATCCTCAGATCTTTTCTCAATGTTCCACCACCACTCCCCTAGCTCTAAGCCTTCCTCTTCTGGGGAACCTTCCACCACTCATTGTCATCCAGCTAGTCCCTGACACACATCAGGGGACAAAGCCTGGTAGGACAGGAAAAGAACATATAAGGTTGGTTAGCCAACATGGTGCCCGCCAAATGTTGATGGACCACAATTCCCATCCTCCCTGAGTCTTAGCCATGCCAGCTAGAGTTGGAGTCCAGCAACATCTGGAGGGTACGATGTTGGCTATCCCTTTTATAAGGTGTCCACTTACACATTGCCAAAAGAAAGGAATCATTACCAAAAGAGAGGATACAGATTTGCATAAAGTTTATGTATGATTTTTATGCAAATATGTGTGATGCTCAGTCTGCTATATAGCTGCAAACTCTATATGAATTTCTCCTAATACACACATTTTTGTATGCTATGCCAGTACACTCTTAACCCTCGTGTATGCACTTTTGTAAATGTTGCTTAGCTGGAGAAATGCACAATGAGGTATGAATTTGAAAGGATGGCCGTGTTTTGGTTTGTGTATTGTTTCAGAAAGTGTGAGTTAGGTAGGTTTGCTTTTAAATGCAAATTGAAACGAGTTTCTCTTCATTCCTAATCTTGGCTGCTGATTTGTTATATTTTGTAGCTAAAATTAATGTTTTCGATAAGTTTGTAGTCTGAAAAGAACAAGAACAAGTTGGACTTCCTGTGGGCAGTGATAAGGCTACTGTGGCCTTTATAGCCAGCATGGTACAATGGTTACAACCCCAGATTTGGGCTGCAGATATAGACAGACTTAACTGAGATTGTCATTGAATTCTGTGGTGTTTACTGCTGAGTAGACCTTTTTAGGACTGAAGTCTTAGAGCAGCAGTGCTTGAATTAAGCTGACAATAGAGAGGGTGTTAGAACCTCTGCCTTGCACACCCTGAGCTACCAATGCTGCCGTTCTGTTCACACAACAGCACTTCTCTCCCCTTCTCTGCATTCCCCTTTGCACCCTCAAAATCTGCTCCAGAGAATTGGAGAACCTCCAGAGCAGTTTTCTGGGGACATAGAAAGGCACCATTTTACGTTCCAGCCTGTATTTGTCACATACAGCACTGTTTCTGTTCACCTGCAGTTCATCTTCTTCCAAAAACTACATCATTCATCGTTCACCATGGCAAAATAACTTTCACAATTCATGTGATTAATTGCATAAGTTATGTACGTTATATTGTCATTATATTATCCCACCCCATTCATTTCAATGCAAAGGAAACATAATGCTAAAGGGGGGGGGGCAATCAATTGTGCGTCATTTGCAGACTAAAAACAACAACTGTATTTGCGGGATTGGTTTCCTTTCCAAACACGGGACAAATACGTGAACATTGGCAATTTCTGTGCATGTTTATTTTCATCAGGATTCTCCAACATCCCTATTTTGTTTACTTTATCTACTATAGAAGAATGTGGGGAGAGGACAATTTGTTTCAATGATGAGATCTGTGGCATTTTTAAATGCTAATTTCTATTTTGGTACATATTGCTTAATACATTATCTTGAAAAATAAAATATACAAACCCCCACTAGCCCACTTAGCTAATTAAAAACAGGACTCATCATCCTAATTAGATCTGTTTTGATGTTTTAGCATTTTTTCCCATGGAACATTTCCTCTCCTTCCCAAGTCACATTGCTCCCATGGATTCTCATTATTCACAATTAGATATTGGAATATGTGTGTTTCATAAAGAGGAGCAAGCAAAGCCCTTGCAAAACACGAAGCACATTTGGAAAAATGGGGACTTGGTTGGTTATTTAGTTCCTATACTGCCTAATACATTAAAAAGTATCTCTGCTCAATGTATAGAAAACTGAAGCAATAACAGACAACTTAAAATACCACAAAACACAGCTATAGATAAAAAATGCTACATTAGTACAGATTTACTAATATATAAATCAATATCAATTCATCAATATCAATCAAATCAATATCAATTCTGACACACCCTCCCTCTCAGCCTCCAGGTTCTCACACCTGGTGCAAACTCTCAGCTCACTCAACAAAGTCTCACCATGATAAGAGTTCCTGGAAACATCATCCTTGTCTCTCACCCTGGACTTGCTATTTTATGGGCAGGTCCAAGGGGGGTGGCACTTCCTCAGGCTGCCCACAGGTATGTCTCATTCCACACAGGTATGCCCCATTCCAGGTACAGTAGGTTGGCTGAGTTTCCCAGGCTGTCTAAAGAAAGGGAAGAGCTCTTTCTTCACCCTCAGTCCTGTCCTGGCTGGTGTGGTGATAGGACAGGGATGGGAGCATCTGACCCACCTTAGCAAGGGTGCAGCTCAGCAATACCTGGAGGGCCAAAGGCTCCACACACCTGAATAAAGCAGAGTTTTTATGTCCTTAAATTAGTTTCTGGTAGCTGTGGAAAGGGTAGGAATTTCCCAGTGTAGGAATTTGTGGAGGGTTGTGAAGAAACAGCTCAGTTGGTTAGAGGCTGGTGCTGATAATGCAAAAGTTGCAGGTTTGGTCCCTGTATGGGACAGCTGCATATTCCTGCATTTCAGGAATGACAAGTTGATCCCGAGGGTCCCTTGCAATGCTACAATTGTATGATTCTATGATACCTCTCTCTAAGATAAAACTGCATTGGAAGAAGAAAACTCAATACTTTTGAAAGGTGCTGGCTTGGATCCAATGGTGGTGTTGTGCAAGGTGAAAGAAAGAGAAGTGAGGGTGCCCAGTTTAACTAGTTTCCCCTTCTCCCTACATACAAACTATGCAATTCTGCAGAGTCCCCACCCCTGGGGCAGTAGCTGTTGGAAGAGGGAGGAGCAGGGTGCTGTAGCAGGATGTGGGTAGTAAGAAATCCCTGTTAGGAACCAAGCTGTGTGTTAGAGAGGGAGAGGGAGCGAACAAACAATTACCAGGCTGGTCTATGCTTCA